GATGGCTGGGAGTGGGGTTCCTGGGTCCAGCTCTGCTCAAACAGACCTGTCATCTGCAACTAGGCATTCTGTTTCTCTAGGTCACCATTTCCTTGACAAGTGGATGGGCCCAGCCTCAGAGGTCTAAAGCAGGGGCTTCTTACCCTGGGCCCACAGACACCTGTATGTCCTTGGACATGCTTCAGATGATCCAGGATCACCGTGATATGTGTATGATGTGCATTTTTCTTTTCCTTTTTTCCCTTTAACATTTCATGTGCATCTTATATACGTGTGTGTGTGTGTAGGTATGGATATATGCACGTGTGTATATGTGTGTATATATGCACATCTGTATACATATGTATGTATTACCATATATATAACACATTCCGATACAAAGAAAGAAAAGTAAAAAATGCTTAAACACAATTTTGTACATAACTTCTATATTATATATACATATGTACCTATATGTGTGTATTGTGAATTAGAACACTGCAGATAAAGTCTGACATTCCTCTCCCCAGTTTCTTTCCCCTCCCTCCCTTCTCAGAGGCTGCTACTACTGAGAACTTGATGAGATCCTTCCTACATGTGTACACATTCATAAATAACATAGAATTGCTGAGTGTGGTTTTTAAAGTTTAAATAAATACTATCACACTGTGCATCTATCTACAACATGCCTTTTCCACTCACCATTATTTTTGAGACACATCTATGTAGATACATTAACATACCTAGTTAATTCCTTTCCAACTACTGTACAGTATTCCATGGTGTGACTATCTTGATTTATTTCTCTATTCTTCTAGAGATGAATATTCAGATTCTGTTCCCTTTCATTTAAACAACGCCTCTGTGACATTCCTATACAACGCTCCTTGGGCACTTGTGCAAGAGTTTCTCTCCAGTAAAAGCCTAGATGTGGACTTGCTGATGCAGTTCGACCTCACTGTGGACTGTCAAATTGCTCTCTGAAGTCGTTATACTAATTTCCACTTCCACCAGCAGCATTTGAAAGTTTCGTTGCTCTACATCCTTGTCAACACTTGATACTAACACCTTTCCACATTCGCCACCATGTTCGCCAGTCTGACAGGCGTGAAGGGAGATGACTGCCTTAGGTTGTGCTGCCCCATAACTCCTGGGGAGGCAGGTCTTTTCTCACACTCATTGGCCATTTGAATTCCCTCTTTACTGAATTCTCTCTTCATATACTTTCTCCTTTGTCTGCCTGGCATTGATCTTTTTCTTAAATGACAATGACCATTGATAAATTTTTATTTATAGTTTTTTAAATGATCTATGCACTAACCTGTTACATGTTATAAATACTTTTCCTAGTCTGTTACTTGCTTTTTAATTGTTACAACGTCTTTGTTATACAGAACTTTTAACGTATCAATCTCTTCCTTTTTATATTTGTACCTTTTGTGTCTTATTTAAGAACCCGTTTCCTTTCTCAAGTTCACACAGTATTCCACTATATAACTTCTAGACGTGTTACAGAGATTCGGGTCTTCCATCCTATCTGGAATTTGCTGTTGTGTAATACGAGGTGAGGAGCTGATCGTTTTACCATATGGAGAGTCAGTTCTCTCAGCACAGTTTATTGAATTTTCCATCCTTCCCTATCCGTTTGTAACTCTCCTGCGTGCACATACGAGTCCCCATATATGCCTGGGTTTGAGTTGATTCCACTGACAGACGGGATCACTACTGGGCCACTGTCGAACTCTTATGATGCCCACACTTTATGGTAAGTTTTCTCTCTGGTAGAGCATGCCCTCTCCTTGTTCTTTCTGAAGTGACTCAGGCATTCTGGGAACTTACTCTTCCATATCAACTTTAGAATTTGTGTTATTTCATGTTCCATATAAAATCCTCGGCACTTCAACTAGATGACACTGAAATTATAAATTAATTCAAGGGGACCTGTGATAATCGGTCCTCCTATCCATGAACAGAATCTATCTCTTCATTATTCAGACCTTTTTGTTTTCAATAATTCTTTCAAATATTTTGTACTTTTCTCCTTGAAAGTCTAATACTTTTTAAAATTTATTCCTAAATATCTAATGGCTTTTATGCTAGAGTGAATTACAATTTCCTTTATTTTCTCGGATGTTCCTATCGCATAGGTAGCTATTGTTGATCAAGCAATGCGCTTAACTCTCTTACTAGTTCTAATAGTTAGTCTCTAGGTTCTCCTGGATTATCCATATAGTTATTTATGTCATCTGTCAATAATGACATTTAACGCTTCCAAATTCTTTTTTTTTTTTTAATTGTGGTGCAATATCTGGGCCCTCCGGAATAACAATGAATAGAAGAGGAAAAAGAGGCTGGTTTGTCTTGTTCCTGATGATGCATATTTTTCAACGGAGAGGGTCCAGAGCCTTTACCAGACTCTGAAAGGCACCCATGCTTCAAGAAAGGTGAATAACCACAAGTCTAAATTACCTTCGCATCATGTAAAATAAACGGAATGGGGTTACTAGTTGTATGAAAGAGAGCAAAACAATCAAGCCAGAACTTAGGGCATTGCAAAGACCCATGAGAAAAGTAGGGCTGGGAGCCAGGGCTGGTCCCAGGCATACCACTAAGAGCTCATTAAGGGTTTAGGGAACAAGTCACACTAAGGAGACCTTAGCCCAGAGAATACAGTAGGAGACAAGAGCAGGGCGCATAATCATCAGAGGTGATACATACTTAGTGTGTGGGCACAAACTGCTCCCATCCCTGGTTTCACCTCAGTTTACTCATCCATAAGTCAAAGCTAATAATATCTACACCTTATTTATGAGTCACAAATTCTCCCGGCTGAAAAAGGCAAATAAGGTTTTTAAAGAGTTCTTATTGAGTAGGTACAGGTTGGAATGCTCCAGGCCTTTTCCACATTAGCAGTGCACTTGGGGGAGGGAGAAAAGCTGGTTTTGGAATAAAGAGTAATAGGCCCTCCTTGAGTAATCTCACACACACACACACAAACACACACACACACACACGCCTCTGAGTTGGCTCCTATCCCCAACCAGCTAATCCCTCAGTTTGTGAATGTCTCCACAGTGTCACCCCCAGCACCGTGCGTACCAAGCTAAGGGACCAGGCTGTGTGGAGTTCACCCTGGCTGCACTGTACAGAGCTGGGGAGACTCTGAGACACTCCCCAGAATGTCCCGGGTGGAGGGGCACATGCCGGGAGGAACATTCTCTCCCACAGGCAAAATGAGGACAGCTGACTTTGTGCATAAGCAACTCAGTGAGACTGACAGAAGTTGTTTCAAAGACCCAGTATTTTTTATTCCCGTGGACAGGAATTGTGAGGGGAAGTTACTGGGCCTCTCTCTTGCAATGTCCAAGAGCTCACAGCTCAACTTCAGTTTCCCTCTACTCCTTTAATTATAGGAGCCAGAAACCTGGGCACTTCGTAATTTACCGTGCAGTTTAAGAGTCACTTTTAGCTGAAGACAAACTGCTGGGCCACCTGAGCAGAGCAGTGAAGTGTGGCCGGAGCTGGGGGCCCTAAGCAAACACAAGAAGCAATGAATAGGGCTGGAACCTTGAGGGGCATCTTCAGGCTGGACCATCAGCCAGGGAGATTTAAGAACGACAGAGAGAAACGAAGCCAGTGCTACCCAAAGGCAAACTCTTAAATCACAGGATATTTGAAGAGACTTGAATGGTCGGAAAAAAAAAAAAAGATGTGATGGTTTTCTTTCAGATAACACTGACCCACCATGTGAAGCACAGTTCAAACTGCAGGATCGACTTTTCCGAAAGGCCGCACGAGTCACGTTAGCAGCATCCACAACCGACTCAGGATGCAGAGAAGGTGTCATCTACCACACTTTGCTGGCTTCTGTCACAGATAATGTTGAAACTAAATTTAACACTGCCTGGCACTAGGGTCTGAATTACGAGCCCTGCTTCCCTGTCACTTCACTTGATCCTCTAAGCGTGTAGTTTGTAGGAGACCTGTTAACTGCACTAAGAGGTCCCCTGGTGGGACACACACTTCAGCCTGCTGAGGCCCCTCCACGGGCATAAATCAGGATCACTCTCCCACCCCCACTCCACGGGGTTGGGGCAGGAAAAAGGGACCTGCCTCAGCATCCTTTGGAGCTATGCCGCCTTCCTGCCCGGGATTTGTCCCCATTGCTAACTGACAGCAGTAATGACAGCCCAGGCCTTGGGAGGGTTACTGGCTCCACCGCCAGGGTCAGGCCCTGCGCTGGCACTTTGCTGCCAGACAACACTGGATCGTTCCAACAACTGCACGCGGTACACACTGTCACGACTTGCCAAAGATCACAGGGCTAGTAAGCTGGAGAGCTGCCATTAGAATCACGCACAGAAGCCCAGAAACAAAGCAAACTCCCCCCAAGGCCGGCGGGGTTTTAAACGCAGGACCCCTGCCGCCAAACCTTGGCACGGCTCCTGGGTCCCACGCTGTCGGGAAAGCCACCTTGGCGGCGTCTCCCAGGCGCAGGCACCGGGCCGCCCTCCCTCCGGGAGACCGATGGAGCGCGGCTCCCGAGACGCGGGGCCATGCGCTCGTCACCCAGCGAGCCCCAGCCACCCTGGCGCGCGCACCGGGTCGGGGGCCCCGCGCCGCCCGTCGAGGGCAGAGGGCCCGGCGTGGCAGAGGCGGGGTCCCGAGGCCAGGGAGACCTTGGTGGGCACTGAGGACAGCGCCGGCGGGCAAAGCGCGGCGCCCGACACAGGCTCCCACTGCCGCCCAGCCGGGCAGGTGTCCGCGCCGGGCCACCCCTCCCCGGGAGCTGCCCCGGCCGCCGGGCCTGCAAGGGCGTCTCTCCGCAGAGTGTCCCGCGCGCCGCGCTCCCCGGCGACTCCCCGCAGGGCGCCTCGGCCGCCCCCGGCCGCGCGGGCCGAACCAACCCGGAGCCCTGCCCGCTCGCGGCCGCGGCGCCGACAGCCCGGCGGAGACGCCCCGTCGCGCCGTGCCCGCAGCTGCCGGCAAAGTTTTCGGCGCGCGGGGCCGGTCGCACTCACCTGGCCCAAGTTGAGGTAGCCATGCGCCGCGGCCACGCGGGCCGCCGCGGCCGGGCCGCCCAGCACTTGCACTGCCCAGTGGTTGGTGTAGACGGGGCGCGGCGGCGGCGGCGCGGAGCAGGCGGCGGGCAGCGCGAGCAGCAGCAGCCAGCGCCAGGGGCGCGGCGCGAGCGGCCGGAGTCCTGGCCCGCCGGCGCCCCCCGCGTCCGCGGCAGCGGGGGCGGCGGCGGCGGCGGCCCGGGGCGGCGGCCGGGGCCCGGGCGCAGGCGGCGCGCGCGGAGGCATGGCAGCGGCAGGCTCGCGAGGCGCCCGAGCGGCGAGTGCGCCGGGGGGTGGGGTGCCGCCTTTTAAAGCCGCTCCGCGCCGCGCCGGGGAAGCGCCGCCGCCGCCGCCGCCGCCGCCGCCGCTGCGGGCGGGAGCGAGGAGGAGGAGGCGGCCGCGGCGCGTGCCCGCCGCGCGGCCCGGTGGCGCCCCTGGCCCGCGCGCTGGCTGCCCGCACGGGGCCCGCCGCAGGCTCGGACCGGGCGGCGCGGCGGCGGCGGGGAGGCCGAGATGCCCCCCACCGGGAACTTCTCGCAGACTTTCGGGGCTTTCGGGACACAGACCTGCCAGGGCGCCCGGAGCGGCGGCCTCGGCCCCGCGTGTTCTAGTAGGAGCCGGGAGGGCCCCGGGGGCATCTCAGGTGAGTCCAGACCGGCGGGCTCAGGCCGGCGCCCTCCCACCTCTCGGGCGTCTGGAGGCCTCCTTCACTTGGCCGGCTCTCTCAGCCTGAGACGGTGGGCTTGCAAGAGTTCTGGATTCTAGGGGTCAGAAGCCACAAGGAAATATGGGGTCTGGGCCCTGCCCAGAGAAGGCCTGATGGAAGGGGCACGTTGAGTGGGGCGAAGACGTGTGACAGATTAGCTGGGTTCCGTGAGCATACAGGAGAAACCTGGCGGGACAGCCCCAGGACTACAGCCCACCTGGGGACGCAGGCGATGCAGGTGACTCCCCACGCTGTCCACTTCATATCTGTGTGACCTTGGCCAAGCTGTGCTTCTTGAGCACAGCGCTCCACCTGTAATGGGGATGACAACAGTTTCTACCCCATAGAGCTGTTTTGAGGACCGCATGAGCTCTTGCCATGCAACAAGTTGTCGATAAACGTTTGTTTTTATGAGCCGGCGGGCTGCCACATGGTGGGTGTTCACTGGTTGGGTAAACTCTTAAAAGCTCCCACCGAGCTGGGACCAGTCAGTGAGAAAGTGAGTTGAATCGTCCTTGCCCCTGCTGCCTGGAGTCGCCTAGAATCCAGTGGATAAGTATTTGGTGCGCCCTGGAGAATTTTGGAAATGTTTACACTGTGAATAAGCAAATGGTGAGAGGTGAGGATCGCTTTGGGATTTCCTCTCCCATTCCCTCCAAGATCCGCTGGCCCCAACTGGCCCCATGTGGAAAGTAAGCCTTTACCCTGATCAGTACAGGAGGGGAGACAAAGGATAGGCTGAGCGGGCCTTGAAGCGGGGAGGAAGCTGCGGGTCTGCTGCTCAGTTCCCAGGAGCACTCCCTTTTGTTTGGAGTGCTGTCTAGAACCCACTAGAGTCTCTAGCTTGGCAGGTAGAGGGTGGGTGATGAGGGGTCGGAGGGGGTGGGGAGAGAGCAGGATCCGTGGAGATGGCTTCCCCAGGTCTTTTCCAGCCTCCCTCTCAGGAGCCCTTTGGTTTCGTAACTCACATGATTCATCCTTTCTGCAGGCGTGAGTCACCCCGATGGAGGTGGGAGAAGGGGAGGCGTGGTGGGAGGTGGTGGGGGAAAGCCAAATCCTTGTTCACAAGGGCTCCTGCCAGGGGCCCCTCTTGGAACCTGGGGATTGATCTCCCACACCTTCTTCCCTTTTCTGCACTGGATGCAACTCCCCTCCACCTTTTCCCTTCCCTGGCCAACTGGGGTCAGCTCTCTGGGCAGACACTCTGCAAGGCCTGCCCCATGCTGCAGAATGTAGGCCCCTTTTGTCCCTCCTACAGATGACCTAGACTCTCGCCTGCTGCTGCCCACTTAAGAGACAGAAGGCCCTAACACAAACTGGGCTGCCCTAGAGGAGACCCCACCACCCCTGTTGGGCAGAAACAGTACCCAGAACCTTCAGCCCGTTTCTTCCCCATGTCACCCTGGCTGCCCACAGAGGAGGGACACTGAGCTGAGACAGGGGGCAGGATTAGAAGCCTCACTCTGTCACTTACCAGCAGTGCCTCTGGGCGACACCTCTCACCTTTCTGGCCCCTGTTGACTGGACTGTCTCTTGGCCCTGTCCCGGATCCTGTGCTGTCCTTGGAGTATGTGGCCCTTTTCAAGATAATGCTCTGCTGCACATAATCTAAGTTATTATGAAGCAGCTTGAGCCTCCCAAGAGGGCACCCCCACGGCAGCAGTGATCTTGACAGGCAGAGATAAGGGCTTTTCCATAATAATTTAGTAGATTAAGGGATTCAGCCCACTGAACTGAGAGGAGACTGAAATGCATCTGAATTTTTATTTGGAGAGATCTGAATTTATTTTATTAACAGATCTGTTCCTTTTGGGCTAAACTTGCCATTTATTGTGCAAGTGGTCGGGCAGGCAGCATCTTGGCTTCAGCGTTTTAGGAAGACCAGCTTCCCAAAATGAACATCCTAAATCAAATTGCCTCCTGTGGGTTTCCTATTGATTTACACGATGACAGGCTTAGCTCAATCACAGTACCAGCCCTCTGCATTGTGATAGGATCTGTAATAAAACTTGGCTCGTCTTCCCGCAGGGAGGGGATTTACTGCTCACTCGGGCTCCAGCTCTCCAGATGGCCCTTAGGGCCGCACAGCTCTGTGGAGGGCCTGCCGCCTCCCTATGTCAGCAGGTCTGGGGATGGACAGGACATGGACCAGAAGGGTGATTGGAGCCTGGTCATATTTCTAAAGTTTTAGAAAACACTAATTCAGAAGTGTGATAGTTATATTAGCATCTTCCCAATTCAGACAAGAGGAGGCGACATCACTGGGATGATGATACTGAATTATGTGTTCTCATGCCTACAGTTGATCCCTTTACAGCAAGTACAGGATTGCACAGCTGGGGCCAAGGAATGCCCAGTACTGCCAGGACCACTGGATGGCAGAAGACTTCACCTAGCCTCTGGCGGTGCGTTGAAACAGAATTTGATCCAGAAATTGCCTCCTTTTAGGCAATGGACACTTTACTGAAAAATTGCGTTTCTGGAAATGTGCTAGGTTCAACGGGCCAGGGTGGCATCACTTAAAGAGTGTCTAATGGGCACCACCTTCAGGCTATTGGAGAAGAGCATGCACTTGAAGCCCAGCTTCACCACTACTGAGATGCAAACTCAGGCAAGTTGCTCCAGCATCCTGCTGGAAATGGCAGTAATGATGCTGTCCCCGGGCAAGGGGGCTGCAAGGCCAATGGGAGATGATACGTGCGAAGCCCCTTGCCCGGCACCTGGCACCTAGTAAACACTCAACAATGACAACAGTGACCACTCTTCCCCTGGGCACCAGAGCCCTCCAGTGAGATGGAATGGGTGAGGCTGCACACTCTGTCCCTCTGGGGGGTTCACGGGCATATAAACGTTCCTTCCTTCAGCCATGCCTCGTTGCACGTTTTCTCACATGTTAACATCCCTGAAATCAGGGTACATCTCACAGCTGGTACTTTGCAGTCACCACTGGCCTAGAGTGAAATCGAGTTCTTCTAGAAAGCGTTTGCTTCTGCCAGTGATCTGGGGCCCCAGCTCCCGAGACCCCTTGGAGACCACATGGGTGGTATGACCCTGGACTAGGAACGAGCTTATGGTTCAAATGATCAGTACAGGGCATTTCTCTGGATTTGTCCCTCCTCTGTCATGGGCAAGATAGAGACCAGAGGGTTCCTTGCTGTCCATCTCTGTGTGAGGGGCTTATTTCTCATGTTCTCCCACACAGTGTCCCCTTTCCTTGTTACAGCTTTCTGGAGGGGTCCCCTGTGAGGCTTCCCAACATGGACATTTTTCTTTCTTAGTCATACATAAAATCCTGATGCATCTTCCAGTGGAGGGTGTCTCTTAGATTTGATGAGATATTGGTATTAAGGCCTTCAAGACATATTGCAGCAAAGATACCTGTTTAACTCTCTCAAATGCATTTGGCCTTTGTTTCTCCTAGCAGCTGTTAACATCCTACAGACAAGGTACAGAGAATACGGTGTTTACTGAAAATCTGCTGTGAATCCTCCAGGAAGGCAGAGGCTCTTCTGTTGCTGGGTAGTTTGAATTTCCAAAAGCTACCTTTCTGTTGGGAGAACACCTGGATGCTTCGGACGCAGGGTGTCCAGAGGTGCGATGCCCGAAGGGACCCGCAGAGGCATTCCTTAGAGCTGACAGCCCCCCACCCCCAGCCAAACCCAGATAACACACAAGGTCCCTGGCCTGGGGGACAGGAGATGCTGACCCAGATGCCACACACAGCGAATGGGCCTGGGACAAGGGAGGGCCCAGGAAAGCGTAGACCTCTGCCTCCCTCCCACCCCGTCCCAGAGAAACCTTTCCCTGGGCCCTGTATTTCTACTAACCAGGGGTAGCCCAGCTGGCTCCACTTATCTGCCTTTCAGGTTTTATTTTCTCTCTTTTTCATTTGTCCCAAATCCCACCCACAGCTGCTCCTGCTGGCAGTGGTGGATCCGGAGTCTTCCTCCCCATCCTTCTCTGTGCTCTGCCTTCCCCTCTGTGTCCTGCCCCTTTGTCTCGCCATCTCCTCAGTGTGTGCTCCGGTTCATATGGGGCTCTACTCCTTTCTGTGGGGATGTTTGCCCTTCTGGGGTGGGGAGGGCGTGGAGTAGCTTGAAGCCCACTCCACTCCCACCCAGTCTTTGATTCTGTGGTTAGACTCCCCCTTTATATCTAGATCCTCATTATCTTAAGAAAAAGGCTTGTGAAAACTACTTCTCCTAAAAACAGTTATCTTAGATCTAGCAATTATGTCTCTCAATCTTCCTTTCATAAACACCCACATGAAAATTTAGTGTCAAACAAAGAATTTAGGAGCAAAAACGCTGAAACTCCCTCAGAAGCTCTTCTCAACTAAGAATGAGAGCTTTGCAATTTATCTGGTTTTCCTTTTTGCCTTGGCTTCCAGGAGGCTCAGAGCCACATGTGTTAGAAAATCATAATTGTTTATTTCCTCCTTGCTGCAGCTGTTAGGATGCCTTTGGTTACAAGTACTGGAATACCCAATGAAAAGGAGTGTAAACCATAAGGACCGTTTATTATTTCACGAACTGGAATT